CTATATAATAGTATAAACTAATATAAAAAATATTTTATTAATTAAATAAAACCTGTTAAAAAAACTTATACGTTAAAAACTATTATATATTTTTATATATAAAGGTTTGAAATAAATAAAAATATTAAAATAAAAAATAATAGTATACTCTATACTTATACATTTATATATATATATATACCGCTAGGTCCTTAGAGCTATAAGCTTTTCTTCTTCTTCTTTTAATCATCTTAAATATTACTACTGTCTACCACACTAGTTGTACACGTCTCCACTCCTTTCAACAATCTTCACTAGCTCTGGCTGGGACCTGATAACCCATCGGGACAGCCTGGCCATTCATAGGGCGAGCTTGATGGTTCATAGTGTAAGCTTGATGAGGGGGTTGAAAGAGAGGTGGCACCTGGCTCCGTGAGGTGCTAATAAGTCCTTTCCCGTCGTAGTATTTGACGAGCATTTGAGCCGCGGAAGCCCGCTCCTCGGGATTTAGCGCTCCCATCTCCCTCATATTTATGAGATGATTTTCGTCTGTGCCAATTTCCTGGATCTCCTTGTGATAGTTTGCCTCATACCCACGAGTCCTTATCAGTTCACGAAAGCGCTGGTTACCCGAGGTCCATAGCAATGTAACGTAGAGTGACCACACGTCAGCTTTATCAGCCCGGTGTCCAGGCTGGTACAGCTCAGGGGCTATATAGTACATGGTGCCGGTTACCCCGCTTACTGCGATGGATTGGTGATTACTGAGCCCAAAGTCACTAAGAAGAAAATGATACTGCCTCGCCTGTTCTGAGCATAGGATATTTCCCGGTTTGATATCTCGATGGGCGATACCGATTGCTGTAAGATAATCGATAGCTTGGAGGATGTGGTGACAGGTGGATTTGATAATGTTCTCGATAGTCATAAGACGTTTCCTTTTTGACTGTATTAACGACTGTAGGCTTCCGTCGTGTAAACCCATGAATATTTGCTCAATACCTTCATCCGAAGCCTGACACGAGATGTATTTGACAATATTCGGCTAGAAATGGCATTAGTTTGTATTTTTCCATTAGCAGTGTACAAATGGGTTTCTTACATGATTCATCTTTGAGAAAATTTCTATTTCTCGCTTCCAGCTCCTCTTCAACCTGTGTATATCAATTCCCGCCTTGGCGTCTTTAAATGTCTTAACCGCCATCAAATTACCGTTGTCCACATCGACAGCTTTACATACCTCTCCAAATCCACCAGTCCCTAGATGAGCTACTTTTGCCCATCTTATTGGTAGCCGCCGTGGTCCATTAATGTGGACTCGGGTATTCATTTGGGACGGCAGAATAGTGCCTGGCTCATCGATAGTCTCAGCGAGGCGGCTGTTCTCTTGTAAGGCGAGAGCTCCCCTCTTCTTGACTTTTGCCATCGTTCCTGAGAGATCCTGTTTCCAATCCAGCCGAAATTGGTAAAGGTTACGACCAGCACCGCCGAGACCAATGCGACGGTTTATCCGGGAAGATACGACTACTTTACGGGAGCGGCCATACTCAAACGGCATGGCGAGGCTGCCAGGGAACTCGTAAACTTGGCTCGTCTGACTGTGCGATCGGTCATAAAACATGACAACATTAGTGTTCAAGTTGATTTCGAACGAGCATTGTATTCTTTAAATACTGCCGCCTTCGAGAACAATATCCCCACTACGACCCATCGTAGCAAGGGTACTAGTATTCCCGGAATTTGAGCGAATATGACCAATATCCAGAGCTCGTTCGCCCTTATTGTTAACAGAGATGAAGCTTTTATTCCGAGGAGAATCCAGAACCTCATTGGCCCTGTCGTTGATTGGTGTAAGGGAAAATAACGCGTGTTGATGAGGCATTTTGATGCGATTGCATATAGTAATATTGTCTTTGAGCAAGTGAATTGGAATGATAATAGATTCAATGTAGATGAGGAAGCTTCTTGGCTCTCTTTGCCTCCATAAACTAGGAATAACTATCTCTTTTTTCAGCTCCCTGGAAAGCGACGAACGGAAAGCTCTTCACCAGATGTAACTCGAGCAAGAATGGCTATTGGTTACCATGTATGCGATATTTCTAAAAATGCTACATCTTATATTGATTCGCTTGTGGAACAAATATAACATGTTCGTAAACCAGTTAACCTGCATCAAGAGCTTTCGTGTAGAACTCAGATGTACAGAGATAAAGGCTTGAAAACATGAATACAAAACAATTAGGGAGACGTTACACCGCCGCTGCAAGGATTAAAAAAGAATGTACACATATTATTTGGCTGATGTCCTTCGTACAATGCCTGGTTCGAAATTCAGACATAACCATGCAAAATCAATGCCGCATATAGTGTATTCTATGACAGGTGAATAGAAACACATCTTATTGGGAGTTGTGAACGACACGGCGTATTTGAAAATACCAAATACCCAAGAAAACTAATACATTTTTAGAATCGTTTAAAAAGGCTATATCGTCCTGGGATATCGAGGACCTAAACATCAATGAGAGTGGGCCACTTTCAGCGGCAAGTAGTGCCGCCGGAATTAATTGACAGCAAAGCTTGCCAATACTTAAATGTGTTCCTCATCAGGATGAAACAGCCCAGTTACTCAGCAAGGAATTACAGACGGTTTGACGAGCCTTGGGGAAATTCACAGCCAACAAAAAGCAAAAAACAAAAGCCGACCCTAGTTCGGCAAGACACAATCCCGAGGGTATTTAAAAACTCGTACATCCAGGGAGAACAACAGAATTGCTAATAGGAAATAGGTAACCGGTTCAAGGCGGGGATTGGAACCACAATGCCCAGAACCCTTCAAGATTTTAATAAATGGCAGATAGTTACAGGCGTTTGGTAGAGGCTACGGATCGATAGGTACCAAATATCATAATCTCTAGCGGAAGTTAGAATACGTGATCATCATATTTGGCACGCGACTTCTGTATACTAGCTTCCTTGTCCCACATCAACATTATGCTCCCTTACAGAAGAAACTACCAATCATTACAAACTACCAGCATTACCTTATTCATACAACCGCAACCTTTAATACCTCATCCGTACGTAATAAAATTTAGCCTAGAGTAGTCAATCAAACTCCAATAGGCTAGCCTCCCTTAATGGTCTAAGCCCCTTACATTCTCAGGTCTTCACATACGATGTCAATACCATAACTGAGACGGACAGATCTAGAATTTTTTAGTTCATCCTGCGCCACGGGAAATTTCTGTCGAAGAGCTCTGGGGCTTTGTGGGGCTGTCCAAACAACAGTGATGATAGAGATAACACCATCGGTTCACTCGTGGAGCTGGAATGCTGTGCGCTGAGCGAAGTAGAGGGTCCCGTTTCACAAATTTCGGAGAAAGGCGCCAAGGCTGTAGGCCGTAGGTCTCGACAACGCATTCAAGGGCTTGATTGCTTGAATAATTAGCACAGAAGGTGCCAGCGATCATTTGCCATATGTTTGCGAGTTCGGACGTACTTTGTTCGCTTACGTGATACGAACTGGCAATCAGGATGCGTGATTTAGCCCTATGTTATTGGAGAGATTATTGGTTGTCTTGTAGTAGTGTTTAGCTCCAATATAAGTAAGACTGGCATATGTATTTTCTCTTCTAGCTCTCCATAGTTCTTAGCAAAGGCATAATCCGGCCAAGTTGCAGTGGTAGCTTTATTGCCACGCATTGGGTCATGAATACATTGACTCATGGCCTCTTCGTTTAGCATTCCTGGCCGAGCAGTAATAATGTTCTCCAGTGCAAACCGTACACCATCCACATTCTGATAGGCGGGTTTCTGCTATGCCTTGATCTCTGGAGGGAGGACTAGCCCTCCTAGTGGCGCAGGTGCTATGAGAATGGATCTTCTAAGCGATGGCGATGTGGTCGTTGCAGCGTAGTGCTGTGCTGCTTTACCATCGATCGAATGCACAGCCAGGATATATTTATTATCCATCTTCGTGGCTTGCGCGACCAGTTTCAGAGGTAAGGGCAGATGGATCAGAAGACAATGCGGTGATGCCGTAAGCACCAGGTTCGTGTGGTCCTGTGCTAGGGGACCAGCCATGAGAATGGTAGAGTACCTTGCGGAAAGGGTCCAAGGATGATTGGGATAAAACATGTTTATATGTAGCGGCTGAACCGCCATGATAATGATGAGAAACTGAGGATGGAAGAGATCGCGAAGGATGACCAACAGTTTCGTACCGTAGTGTAACTTCTCTGGAAATATTGGTGTTATTGGTTGACCTGGCCATACTTTTGGACTGCCAGATTTATGCTAAGAAACTATAATGATGATTTAAACTGACAAACAGTTACGGATGCCTCAGCATCGCAACTAGACTTATAACCTTCACTGTATTCACGATAATGATCTCTAACTCAAATAGATTAACCACTCCATGACAAATTATATGCCGCCATGCCATATTCCTACGTCAACGGAAAGGCGGATGATCTTTTAACCAGGAGGCTCCTAACAGGTTCCAGTTTGACCTCAAACCCAGATGACTGCGGATTGGCAATCAACACAACACCCCACACACATCTAGCATCACATTAGGCTAGACAGTCCAAAGCATGGCTAGCTCCTAACCTAAGGCTTAGATGCCGTGATTTAGTAGGATGGGGAGATATTATATCCGAATAATCACCATTCTTTTCCACTGCGTAAGAGCTTTTATTTGAATTAGACCTGATCAAATAAGGATATATTTGTAACTGTCACAAAGAGACACTTCATGTATATAGTCAGGATAGTTGCACGTAGGTGTTTAGAGACCCTCGCGCAACAACAAGAGTCTATTGCCTACCGTATACATGGGGTTCGTGACAGTAACCCTTTGTAAAAAACCGCTGTTGTCCTAAATTAATATCTCTACAATTTTCTCGTTGTCAAGCACTAAATTAACCTTAAATCTTTAATACTTATTTCGTATCTGAAGATCTGTCCTATATAATGCAAGTTGCAGCTTGATTTCACTGACTAATCATGTTAGTGGGCCTGTAGCTCAGGGGTAGAGCGCTCGCTTTGCACTTTATACTAAAACTGCGAGAGGCCTAGGGTTCAAATCCCTACCGGTCCAAGTCTTTTTTCATCCTCTACCCTGCTGTGAAAGACTGTACTGTACCATTTTTCATCACAAGCTATTGTTTGTTTTTGGGGTTTTGGGCAAATTTTATTGCAGTTCCGCTCAAGCTTACTTTATTTGATCTTCCATAATAAATACATCAGAAGTGGAATTCATACTGTACATACAATTTCTTCTTGCGTAAGCGCAGACGTAATTTGACCTCCTCGATTTCGGTGTTATTTATCTAGCTGTTCGTGGATATACGAGGGCTTAGACTGGCTGGCACGGAGATATACTTGTTCAGCCATTTCCGAGACTTGCTCTCATGTGGCCCTACAACAGACTAGCAGGAATAGAGAGATGATCAACCATTTCCGGCCATTATTAGTTCCCACGGCCAATTAATCAATGCCATAGGTTGAGCGTCCTTGTCCGTTACCACCGCTCCGTGCAGAACCCTTCCACTCAATGACCATTGTATGGCCATTGGCGGACTTATCTTTAAGCCATGGGTTCAAGATTTAAATCATTCGCCGAGTTCCCATACAGGATCATCGGTGAAGCTAGATATCTAACATTATCAACGTGGATCTAGGACCAAGGAAGTGTAACTCTAGAAACTTACAGTGATGCGGTCGAACCTGGTACAGGACAGGACTGCTAGTAGAGCTTTCGCGTCATGTCAGTAGACCTGCATATCAACCTTCAAAGTGTGAAGTCAGTTAACAAAGACCTTAAACTAGTTCCAGATATGGTAGAATAGATTGCCGTGAATGTCGTTTTGGACATCTCCATTGTCGGCCTCGATCACCTCGTCAATGTCCTAGTATTCAACGGATCTGATATGGCATTAACCATAGGTTCGTGCCATCCAATAGAGACGAAACTTCTGGATTAATTTAATAAACACTATCATAAGCATGACAGACATCTAGGGACACGATATTCATCGTTATACTTACTGATTCTGAAGGCAATTTTCAGTTTGAAGGTGACCAGACGGAATCACAACAGTCTTTTCATAGTACTTCTTCACCGTAACACGCCAAGCTGGAGCCGCCATATCGAGCGTCTGTTCCCAATCGACCTGGTTCTTCAATTTCCCATCCCATGGCTTTTTTTCTCTATCATTGTTTTAAACAACTTCAAGGTGTTCGAAATCATAAGCGGAGGTCCCCTGGAACACAGCGCTATCAAGATCGTATTGCTGCAGAGGCCGCGACTGACAATCATCTGCAGACTTCCATCTCGCCCACCCCCCCAAGTCGTTTGATATAATTTGAGAAATTCGTCATCCTCTCTAATTAGCACGCGTCGTATTTCGAGATGCATCATCAAGAACATCTTCAAAGTTTCGTCGACTCCAAGGCCCCTAATAATCACATCAAGTATTATACAAGGCATGAGACGCTTCATGCACTTGACCAAAATTTCCACTGGAGTCAAAATCTAAATATCTCACCCAACATCCCACACCCCACCAAACCCAACCCCATCAAGAAACCTTAAGAAGCCGATTCCGCAACGCTGAATTCTCCACAGCAATAACCGTCCCCTCCTTATCCAGCTCGAACACAAACGCATCTAGGGGCTGGGACCCATACACGACAGCCGAAAGGCTCACCCAAGTAGAGCAGTCAGTCGTAAACGGCCTCGTCATCTCCGGGAGCGCGAGGTCCTCAAACGTCGCCTTGAAGCCCACCTTCCTCCCGCCGTCGGGCGTCGCGTCCCACAGGCCCGTGGGGTACAGCCGCACGCTGGGGCTGATGTCGTCCCAGTAGTCCTGCGAGATGTTCTGCCCCAGCGCGACGACGAGGCCCATCAGGTTCGTCCCGTTGGACACCCACGGCCCCACGCCCAGACCCGGCTTCTCGGTGTCCACGGTTATCGTCAGGGAGGAGTTGAGGGATCTCTCGGCCGACACGTAGGTCCCTGCGTAGGTCGTGTTGGCGTGCGAGCGCGCGATGCCCAGGAGGGTGGGGAGGTACGTGTTGGATAAAGTGTCGGCGATGTCGAGTACGAGAGATGCGGGCATCTCGCCGGCTGCGGCGATGCTGAAGCCGATGTCGAAGTCGGGGATCACGGCGAGGAGGGCGCTGTATTTGCCTATGCTGCCCAGTTTGTTGAAGGTTGTTGCGAATTGGTAGGTTGAGTCTTTTAGGGTTAGTGCGGTTGGTGGGATATTAGTGAGGGAGGAGAGGAGAGGAGATGGAGGGGTTGAGATTGAGTGGTCATGTAACTTGGCAGTTTTCTAAGTGAATTTGCGGATACTTACTTTGAGATGGCAGTGATAACCTCCGTACGCCCCAGGGGCTCCCGACTGACGATACCGGGTCGGAGCTGAAGGTCACAGGGCGAAGCCATCGCCGAGTTACGGGCCATGGGAGCAATGTTGACTTCAAGATCGCTCTCCCTACGGCTGACATATTTGAAACTGAACAATAGACGTTTCCCGTGCTATTTCGAGATCAGTCGCTTTTCATGTAACTATCTGGATATTTTGAACTAAGCTCACGGTGATTCATTCCCCATGTTGAAAGCCCATGTCGTCAAATATCTACCTCCCGGTATGACTCCCATAGAATCATCAGGCGTGGTGTAAAACGTGTGACTTAGATTCAGGGGCTTCACTAATTTGTCTTCGAAGGACCGCTGGAATGGCTTTCCTGTCATTTTCTCCAACGCGTAGCCTAGGAGCACGTAGCCGATGTCCGAGTATGCGGGCGTGACGAATGGTGAGAAGGCTGGAGGTAACTTTTTAAGCCCTTCGAAGAATTCTATCGTACGGTGTTGAGATTAGTGAAAAGTGGTTTGTATTATATATATGTTTATATGATATGAGACGAGAAGTCGAAATGGAATAGCGTGAAATGGCGATACTCACGCGTCCTGTTGCACACAGGAGCGCTCCCACAAGGTGGGATATCGACGTCGGCGAGGGTCGGCAGACCGATGGCCGTGGTCTGTGTCATGTTGCTGCTTTGCGTGAGCTCTCCGATAAGTGAGTCTAATAACCACGCACTTAGCGACGACCCGAAGACAAGAGCAAGCATATCCGCTCACAATCTCTCATCAACCCGGATATCTGACTCGCCAATGCTCCAATGGTAATTGATCCCCAATCCGGTGACGTGAGCGAATGCGATGTATCCCGCCCGTCTACAACCATAGCCGCGATCTCAGGGATGAATTTCGCGATGGGCTCGTTCCACGAGGCGTCGCCCACCTCGGCGAGAAAGGTCAACATGGTGAATATCTTGGTCAGGCTGCCTATGCGATAAACGGTGTTTCCGTCGACCTTCCTCACCCCCGTCGTGTTCATCGTCTCCAGGTTTTTCGCCGTCCAGTAGTGTGACCACAGTGGCGTCTGCTCGCTCGCGGCGAAGACTTCGACCGAATAGGAGAACTTGTCCGAGCCTGTGTTGTTGGCGTTGTCGATGTACTGTCCAAACACCGAGTCCAGTGCGCTCGCGGCCCCGCGGATACCCTCGTACCCGAAGAGGTTGTCGGGTTTTGGGTAGCCAAGGCCGTAGATGGGGCAGTTCTTCTTTGCTTGGGAGCCGGTGGCCTGGAACGCTACCAGCCAAGCCAGCACCTGCCTGTAATTGACCATTATAGCAATATCTCTCGATGTGATAATTGCGAATGAGACAATTGGATGCTTGTGGCATCATTCTTGGTGCCAAGCGCGTGGGATTACTCATAACTATATGCAAACTGGAGTCCAGATTCAACTACTCATTTTCAAATGACCCTCAATTTAATTTACCATCATGATTATATCATGAAGAGTTAATGTCTGACCTGATGTCGTCGGTTCGTTTTCTTATTGGATGACATGATCCGGAAGAAAATACAATTCGTTGGGCGGGAGACCGGATAAGGTTCTACAATTAACCGCTGAACGGGAGAGTGTCTACCACGTAACGCTTGACACTTCATACTGCAACTTAGCAATATATCATCGCTTACGGACTCAATTATCAGCCGGGACGAAAGGAGGATGTGCATTCTTATCTTGATAGAATTTGATTATCGTTAGCGCTTATCGTTTCTTATATATGTACATAATAGATTGTTTCGGTACCTAAATTTATTATCAACCGTTCCTGCATTACACCCATCAACTTCCACTGGACTTTTAATCGAAACCTTGTCCCACCCAACACCATGAAGATCCCGACAGCCATGCCTAATCCACTATAAAATACAACATATGATGCCATCCCAAGCACCCTGAAAGTACGGCTCCATTGCTATTTATGTTTCCCGCATATGCAATCCCGCCCGGAGACCCAAACTCCGGCATCCTTGGCACTCTATATTAACAAAGCCTAATACATTGCTTGGCCCCGATCAACCAGTAGTCTTTCTACAATCCCATTCTCTTCGACTTCAATCAGGGAATGATAGGCGAGTTCCTGGTAACTGGTTCCCTGGGGGTGGATACACGTGGTTGCGTTGGCTGGGACGGCTATTTAGGTTCAAACACGCACTTGGGAATGGGTGTTTACGTATTTCGTATTCTACAGGTGGATCAGGAGAATGTTGCGATTAGCTGCCTGGATGACGTACATGGTCGGAAGGCAGAAAACATGGCCTTTTCAACCCCACATGATAAGAAGCATACTGTAAAGACCGTACAATCATGAGGCAAGGTTCTGCCTCTCAATGAGGCAACGTGATCGATCCTCTGACAACGTTTCGTATTTTGCTGTTACTACTCACCCATATTATACGGGTAAACGATGTAATGTGACATGCAAGTGGTTTTCAGACTATCACATGCGATATTGTGTCGTCAAGTGAATTCCAATTGGCATCAATACATCCCATCGCTGAGACCATGTACCGTCCGTAAGGTACAGCGGCAGATAAGTCCAACACCAACAGAACCCGAACTCAACGGCAATATAATGAGTCATCTTTCAACTTCAACTTCCAATTATTGCAAGAGTTATAGCAGAGAGGAGCAAACTCGCTGTCCATCATCTCAAGCGCCCTGCACCTAG